AGCCTTTCGTGACCAAGGCCGACGCCAAAGAAGCTGCGAGCCGCGGGGAGGGTCAAGTTCCACATCCTCATCACCACCTACGAAGTGGCTCTCAAGGTCTGTCGGTCATGCCCATCAGTCCGTGCCTACTCACGCATCGTATTATAGTCTGCACATGCGGCACAACCGGTGTAGTCGGGGGGGGGGGGGGTATCCGGATCACCACCTACGAGGTTGCTCTCAAGGTCGGGCGGTCATGTCCGTCAGTCCGTGCCTTGCGCCTGCTGTGCACACTTACGCGCCGCAGCCTTCGCACACATGCGGCGTAACGTATGTAGTCGGGGGGGGAGTCCGATGCGGGCAACCCTCGTTCGTTTCAGTTTTTTTTTTCGGATGCTGACACGGAAGTCTCGAGTTAGTTTTTTGGTACAATGTATAGCTTGAGCTTGGGCACTTGGGAGAGACATTGTTTGCTGTGAGTCTTGTTCGCATGCGCTCGTTTTGGGTTTGGCGCAACCTCGTGGATGCGCATTTACTATATAAGAAAACGCTCTCTCAAGTGCATACAAAAGCATTAATGTTATTTTGGTCGCCTCGGGATAAAAAATGAGAGCGTGACGATTATTTCTTCGTTAAAATGGGCCAATTCTGATCGTGGGCGTGCACACGCGTGTGCGATTTTTCTCTTCCTTCTTTTCATCCCCCTTTTGCCCAGGACGTCCGAGAACTTTCTCGGATCCACTGGAAAGTTCTCGTGGTGGACGAGGCCCACCGACTGAAGAACTGCGGGTCGAAGCTGTTTCAGGAACTGGGGTCGCTCCCGCGTGACCACAGCCTGCTGCTCACCGGAACTCCTCTGCAGAACAGGACAGAGGAGGTAGGTCAAAGTGTGCAAGTAGTAACCAGCTGCTTTGTACCGATAATTTCACTCTTTTTTTTTTTTTTTTTGGCGCCGCAACCCATTCCACGAGGTATCTGCAACTGCGGCTGGGGGCGTGAGGGGTATCTTTTGGACGCAGTCCACTGCAAGTACCGTACACTACAACGCCTTGAGGGAGGGTGCGACTACATACGGTATTTTCTGGGTCTATCGAAGGGTCAAAGCATGCGCCAAGTAGACACTAGGCACTAATGCTGAGGCCTAACAAGAAAACATGGCAGCAGCTCACAGTTTATTTTCTGCACCGATGCTTACCGGTGCAACGAAGGAAGGTATTACTGCTGTATCGATGACATGCATGCGCTCCATGCGAGGTCTCTGCTCGTGCCCTGGGGGTCCGGCCACTGCATGGCGAGACCGCTTTTTTCACGCCTTGTCGTTGTCGTCTCGGCCTTCCCCTTGCCCTCTCCCCCCGCGCTTTGTTCATGGGGTCTATTTTCTCTCCTTCCGCGGTGTGTTAAGCTGTGGGCATTGCTTAACTTTGCGGACAGCCACCAATTCTTCGACCAGCAGGGGTTCAAGGAGCAGTTTGGAGACCTCAAGGGGTCGTCGCAGGTGCGTCTCTGTGTGTGTTTGTTGTGTAGCATCGGCCGCGCTAGCCGGCTTACCAATGAAAAGACGTCAATGTCAACGGGAAAAATCGTAAATTCAAGGTCCCTGGTGAAAGGGGACCAAAATTCGAAAAATCCCCAATGCACGAAATCGAATGAATGCCAATTGACTCTACGCATTTCACAGAGACTCACATCACAGCTCCACACATGCCCTCGCCCGAACCTTTAGAAGCCACTGATGCAAAGAGCGGAGGACAGCAACAGAGAGTTAATGTGCTCGTTTCTTTGCTGCTGGGATCGACCGCGCCATCCGGCTAGCCAGTAAAAAATAACGTCCGTCTTCAGTGTAGCTGTGTGTAGATCGGTAACCTTGACCGGCTTCGCGTTTTCTGGCCTGCTCTCTGCATTGCAAAAAGTATGGAGTGTTTATTTTTAATTTTTTCGTTATTTTGGGGTGCTGTGTGTGTGTGTGTTTTCCCCCCAAAAGGTGGCCAAGCTGCACGAGATGCTTCGGCCGTACCTGTTGCGGAGGGTCAAGGAGGACGTCGAGAAGTCCCTTCCGCCCAAGGTGAGCTTGTGCGGCGTTGAGTGTGGTTTTCGTTGGCATCGACCGCGGTAACCGTCTGCGTGTGCTTGTGTTTGTTTTCATCGTCGCCATCGACCGACCGCACCAGCGGGCCGACCAACGAACATGCGTCAGTCTTCCGTTCGGTAAACATGTAAAAATAAGAATTGAATCCGTGGGAGTGGGGGTGGGCGTGCAACCATCCATCCCTCTCACCTTCGTCTGCACCCTTGTCTGACCCCTCCCCCCAATTCACCCGACATATCCGCGACCCCCCCCCCCGTTTTCCCCCGCGTGATTCCAGGAGGAGACGATCGTTGAGGTTAGCCTTACCCCGGTCCAGCGGCAGTTCTACCGAGCCATCTACGAGAAGAACACCCAGTTCCTCTTCAAGGGGGCGAGGCCCGTGCACGCCCCGTCGCTGATGAACATCATGATGGAGCTCCGGAAGGGGGGTGTGGCGCGCCGGCACACGCGATGGTGTCCGAGTTTTGATTTTTTTTGTTTAGGCCGTCGAGAGAGACCCGCAGACGAAACCGATGGGGTGACTCTTTTGGCAGAGGGGGCTTTGGAAAATGGTGCCACGTGTCACATGCCAAAAGGGAGAGAGGTTGTCCAGTTCTTTTTTTTTTGTTGGAACCCCAAGATCGTATAGGTAAATCGTCGTTTGGTAAGGCGGGGAAGTGCATGCATGTACTACTTGTTTTGCAGCTCGAGTTGGGACGTTTTTTGTGCCCAATCCCGTTGATGTCTGTGTGTGTTTTAGCACCACCGTGCCCTTTTTGACAGCTGAGATTTCCTTTGCATGTATTGACCAGCCCTGACGGTTGTTTATGGCACTCGACCCAAATGTTTGTGGCTGATGGTTCATTCCCTCCCGGTTCTGCTGACTACCTTCTCCGGCACTCACTTTTTTTTGCGGTTTTGGCATCGGCAATGGTATATGCGGAATCTCCCGCCACCGCCAACTCAAAACAGTGCTGCAACCACCCGTTTCTCAACCGGGGCGTGGAGGAGCGCATCCTGAGCGAGATCCCCGACGAGCTCCACACCAAGGCGAACGTCCACAAGCAGCTCGTCGACGCCTCGGGGAAGGTGTGGAAACCCCGATGGAACCGACATTTGACACCTATTTTTATCCACCAGTATCCCCTTGTTCCCAGGCCTGGTTTGTCAGCGACGTTTTCCGCTGGTTTTCTGTAGTCCCGCGTGTGCCTTGACGCTGTGGCTTGTGCCACCACTGTGCCGTGTGTGGCGGTATTACCGTGTGGAAAACCCGTCATCTTCCATCCAGGGAACTCAACATCATCCATCCCGGATAAACCCGCCATTATTCACCCCCCCCCGGAAGGATTCGACAAGATCATCCATCCCGAAATTACCGTATCTGTGAAATTATTTGTTTATTTAATGGATTCGTGTAGAGAGTGGGACGGATCAGTTCTTCTCCGGGCCCCCGTGACTCGTCATCGTCTGACGCCCCCCCCCCCCCCCCCCCCGGGAAACCCCGGTGGGCGGGGGGGCTTGGCCGTTTTTTTTAAAAGGGGGTGCTGGGGAAACTGCTTTCCAGGGTGGCAGCGGAAAGGGCCCAAGGGTCTCCTCTTTCCCCCAAAGGGCCCGGGTCTCCACCTGGACCAAGGGGGGTCCTGGGGCCGGGGCCGTCCGGCCGGCCGTCCGGCCGGAACTCCCCGCCCGGGACAAAGGGCCGTGGTCTTTTTTCTTTCGGAAGCCCCGCGCGGATTTTTTAAAAAGGAGGAACGATACTTTTTTTCCCCCCACTGCCGGAAAAAGGGGGCCCAAAAGAAAAACCCGGTTGGATGCCATATTTGTCCAGGG